CAATACAAAAAAAAAAATCAGATTTTACTGTAAATGATTTCCTAAATCAAAGATCTAAAAATCAATATATTTTTATGGATACTGTTAAGAAAATAATCAACTGAAAAGAAAAATTGTTCTCATTGAAACTCMTGGTGGAGTCGAAACACATCCTTTCAATGGTAAGTAAACCCTAACCTAAGACATTCCTTCAAAGAAAAGGAATATTATAAGCATATGATGTAAGTGACCCTAACAGGATCAAACTTACACCTCCTTCTCAAGCATTATATTGATATAATGCATCCTTTTTTCATCTAAAGAAAAAGAAGCCAAATGAAAGAGCTATGTTTAGCAAATTAAAAAAAAAAAAAAAAAACTTGTATGAAACCAAAGAAAACTATAAAACAGACAAGCCTTTCTCTTAACACCTCTGAAGTACAGATATAACCTATTTTCTGGTTTAAAAAGAAATCATATTTGACATAAGTGGGTATCTGAAGCCTAAATTTATCAAGGCTGTGTTCCACAGATAGCAYTTGGGTCACACAGGGCATCTTTCTTCCACAAAGGACACCTCYCCATGTTCCCAGAGCCATTCTTCGATGGGGACATGGAACAAGGATAAGTGGGAACTTTCCCTTGTTTGATATAACTCTTATCTCCTTTCAAAAGGGGCTTTGTACTTATAAATACACATCCAAAATTACCATGTGAATGAAGAGAATCCCAAGTGGTTCTGCAGTGTGGGAATGAAACAGATCCAGAGAGCTCGCTTAGCTCCTGGTTTCCTGGGAATATGCCAACATCCATCTCCAAGGATGCTGCAGGCCTGGCTTCAGACTGAGCCTAAMCAGATTTAACACTTTCATTTTCAATAGCAACGCAAGAAATACCTGAGAATGATATCCAGGAAGGAAGAGGATGAGTTCCCACTGAGATTTGCCTTCTGGAATGCTTTTCTCGGCCGTTGGTGAGACGAAAACCAGAATTTGTGTACAATGGACACAAAGACCAGCAACAGATGAGGAGTGAACTGAGCAGCACCCTGCTACCAAGCAGCCATGGAGAGGGCAGGGGCAGCTGTTAAATAGCTATTAATTAGCTAYTAATTAAGAGCAGCTGTTAACAGGAGTAGGATTTAAAGGGGCCTTCACCCAGAGAAGCAGTCACCAAAGCACTCCCTTTCCTCACACCCTTCCTGAGGAAGCTCCTATCCTGCTGTGATTTCTCATTCCTGGGACAAAGGCAATCCAACCAAGCATGAGCCTGTAAATTTCAGTAGCTTTAAGAAGTCAGATTTCATTGAGAATTATGTGTATTTTCATTGCAGATTTACTTTTGAGAATTCAGCAGCGTGTTGCCTACCGAAAGTGGTGGTGGCTGTTTCTGCATTTTTGAAGGTCTGCCTCTCACGACCTCCAGCATTTATTATAAACTGTAGAGACTCCCACAACCAAATGCATCCATCCTTTGGAGAGCAGGGCCTTTCCCAGGGTAATGGTTGTATTTTGGAGCTGCAGACAGGGAGCACACAGGTCACTCCTCTCCAGCCCTGCCCTCCTGACACTTTCTCTCTGAAAGGGCTCCAAGAACTCAATCTTGCCATGGACTCTCAACCCACCTGTCCCAGGAGACATCTGCTTCCAGCCTGTCAATTTTACCACCTTTATCCATCTGTTTGGCCCTGTAAGTTCTGCTGCTTTTGGACATAAATTTAAGCAGTGCCCGATGTATTTGTTGTTTCAACTTCTACCTCTTTTGGATGTGGAATTTATGCCCTTTTCATGTTCACCCTGAAGGCCTGTGGGAGCCAAGTTACACCTAACTTGAAATAAAATCCTGTCAAATATCTTCCAGAAGAAAACAGGAAACTCATATTCATGGCATAAACAGATAAAATTACTGGATTCCCATCAGCCCAGCAACGTTTGCAGAATTGTGTGATTTTACCAGATCTGAAACTGTCTGTATTGTGGAACAGATTGCTTCTTTTTAAAAAATATTTATCTGAACAAATGTAGTATTCACACTCCTTAATTATTAGATTTACTGATTGACTGAATCCTATTAGCATTATTTGTCCTTTCTTTTTTCTTTTTTTCCTTTGGTCCCAGTTTAAAATGCAGTGTGCTAGATGAGAAAAACTCTTGATTTTTTTGAGAGAATTGCTTTTTTTTTTAACTGATTTCTACTTTTTTCCCACCAACAATGCAAACATCTCCCTACAGGAGGTGGAGAGAGGTGTTCAAAAAGGCTCACAGAGATAATGTTGATTTAGGCTGTACCATTGATGAAGCAACTTGGCCACGCCCAGTAATTACAGCCCTGCTGAATTGCACATCAATTTTGTAGCATTCCCATTGTTCACATAAAAGCCAATACAGAGTTTTTCTTACCTAATGATTTCTAGTATGT